TAAAACAGATATTGTTCAGGTAATTTTCATCTATCCATTTTTTCCCCCGATTTTCTACCCTGCAGCATTATTTTTTTTGGACAATTAATATGCTTTTCCGTGTCCATAATATTCAGAAATCAGCAACAGCTAAGTTACGGCATTTCTTGTTGCAGGTTCACATTCCTTATGCCTGCAAACTACTCTTCCAAGAGTTAATGGCAATGGCCATTGCTCCCAGAATGCTCACAAAGGAAATAAAACCAGCCAAAGACCAGAAAAGAAAAGGAGGCTGATTTTACCTGCTACTGTAAAATTAAAAGCACAGAGCTTCCTATTTTCATTCTAAAAGGGATTGTTACTTTCTTTGTCAACCACGCGGAGAGCAGCCTGAAATTAAACAATCTGAGTCTATGATATTGAAACTGACACTAAGTTAGAGCCTGGTGACGAGAACTTTACGACGCTTAATCCGGTAGTAGAATTATTGAAAATTTCTTTTTCCATCAGCTCCACTGCCTCGGACCTTCTCCTCCCCACACCTTGAAGAAAAGGAAAAATTTGTGGCAGCGGTTATTGTATTTTGTAACGGTCATGTCATATTATTGTTTTTATAATGTTGATAGCTTGAGCAGCAGCAATTTGTGGTGGCTGCTGAAATTACTGTGTATATTAAGAACAATCTTTTAAGATAATTTTTTTTTTTTTTTAGAATTATTTCAAGATAGTTATAAGAGTATCCGAGCCAAGCACTGCTTGTATGATTCTTTACATACAAAGTTTCACTTTTATTGTTTTTGTTCCTGTGCAAGTGTTAAGAAACAAGAACAAAGAACAAATGATTTTTTTACATATTTAACTCAGTAAACAGGAAAGATTAAAATAATTCCACATAATGAAAACTGGAGATTGCAATAGTTTTCTTATCACGCATACCACACATCTATATACTTTTTAGCAGTAAGTGTTAGATTTATGTTATATATATGTATGTATATATATATTATGTTGCAAAATAGAAAATGAGAAAGATGCTCACTGATTAAACACTGTCGCTAGCCAAAAATTGAAAAATGATAGCTATAATAATCAAGAGATCTTTGCCCTCATGCATGAACAGAGATGAGAATGAACAAAAATTTTTTATTGGAGAAATAGCCGAGATCAAAAACTTAATTAACATATGTCAAACGTGAAGAGAATAATTCCCGTCCCAAAATTCAGTATGTTATTATTCATACTCGTATATAACAAGGGTACTGTGATCTTACTATGGACTAGTTAATTTCTTCTTATATATACATTCTTTAACTACAAAAATTTCTATTTTATACCGACATAAAAGGTTTAGAGTATATATTATTTTTTTAAATATTTCATCCAATCATAATATAAAATACATATATTTACTAATTAGATAATATATATATACTAATCATAATATAATATAAATAAATATTGAATGATAATATCTATTTGTTGACCAAAATTTCTTTGAATACATCATTGAATTCATTCGCGGCACGAGCAAAATTCAGGTTGGAGAAGAATACGGTTCATAGATTCTTTTTATTAGAATTATGTTTCTATTTATTTTTATTTCTAACTAGTCATATGCTCTTTTACTTTAAAAAATTATGCAGACTTATCTAATAAAAAATTAGCGGTACTCACGAATGATATAAACACTACTGTTGTTCTAACTTTACCCACATCAATAGTATATTTTTTTTTGAATCACGTACAAAAATACAATTCAATTCGAATTTACAATTTTTTAAAAAAAGAAAAGAACGTATCAACTATTAAATTAAATAATGATTGATGTTGAGTAATACATTTACTAGTTAATAAATAATGCACTATAAGTTAAATATATATATATATATATTTTTGGGTAAAAAATGAATCTCCCGTATTCACTTGGCTGCCTTCTTATTTTTAGTGAACCATTGACAGCTCCATGGTAACTAAAATTTCTAAGAAAACTATAAAGTTTTATTTCAGAGGAGCAATTCCAGATGGGTAAAATTTTTACTGAAATTGCATGGTGAATTTTTTCTTTTTCTGAAAAGTAAATAAAAACAAATTTTTTTATTTTTTATTTTATATGTTAAGTACTGATTAATTATGAGTACTTTCTTTCCCATAATTAATATTTATTAGCTTAAATGTGCATGTTACAATTATAATCGGCTACGTACCGGATATATAATTATATATATATATATATATATGCAGACTAATTTTTACCTCTTTCCAGTGCCTGCATATTCTTTTCCTTACTTGTTCCCTTATTTTCTCAGGGGTTCATCACAGTTCACAAACATTTGGTATGTAAATTCGTGACTCGTTAAAACTGAATCATTTTGTACATATTCATTTCGGATTTTAATCAAAATTAAACCAGTACAGATTGATTTCGTACTAATTGAAGTTTGTGTGTCAAATCAATATGTAATTAATATTGAAAAGCTCACTGCAGACCCTCACTTAATTTATATATATACACAAAAGCTGTTTGTATATATATATATATATATAAGTTACATGTATACAATCTAACTGCACATATTTATCCTACAACTAATCTAATATTATTGTGTCAATCAAGTGACAGTCGAATTTACAGTTGCCAAAAATAACACACACATATTGAAATTAAAATCTTCCAAACAAAGTATAAAATTAGGCTTTGCCCTTTATTTATATAAAGAATGCTCTTGTTATCATCTTAATGTATTAAATTCTTAAACATGGCTTCTCAATCTTCTCCATCACTATTTATCACCGGCATCAACGATGGTTTCTCTTCATTTCCTAAAAAAACATCACAAGTTCGGATCATTAGACATGCACGTCCCAACTTCTTCTTCAAGACAAGGTTAGTATCTTGCAAAGCTCCAATTGATATTGATTTCAATGGTGATGATGACGATCATCACCAAAACTCAACCGCTAAACAAGACAAACATCAACCTTTTATAAACAAATTTAATAGGAGGGATGCTCTTATTGGCTTGGGAGGTTTCTTTGGAGGATCTAGTTTTGTCACTACTAATAATTTTGCATCTGCTGCTCCTGTTTCAAGCATAGACCTTACTAAATGTGATATTCCACACTTGCCACCTGGTGCAAACCCTGTAAACTGTTGTCCTCCAATCTCAACAAAAATTTTAGATTTCAAATCTACTTTATCAGACTCCCCTTTACGCGTTAGGCTTGCAGCAAATTTGGTTGATAATGACTACATCGTTAAGTATCAAAAGGCAACTGAGCTTATGAAGGCACTCCCTAATGATGATCCTCGTAACTTCATGCAACAAGCCAATGTTCATTGCGCATATTGTGAAGGATCATATTATCAAGTCGGGTTTCCTGATCTTGAATTTCAAATTCATCGTTCATGGTTGTTTTTTCCTTGGCATAGATATTATCTTTACTTCTATGAGAAGATTTTGGGAAAATTAATTGGTGACCCAACTTTTGCATTGCCATTTTGGAACTGGGATTCACCTTGTGGCATGCAAATTCCTGCCATTTATGTAAACCCTAAATCTCCACTTTACAACAATTTACGTAACACAAGTCACCAGCCACCAACATTGGTTGATCTTGATTACAACTGTACTAATAACTCAACAATTTCCAATCAAGAACAACTGTCGAGAAATCTCAAAATTATGTACAGACAAATGGTGTGGAATGGAAAGACTGCTAGCCTTTTCTTTGGCAAAGCATACCGAGCTGGTCAAGAACCAAACCCAGGAGGTGGCTCAATAGAATACACCCCTCATTCAACTGTCCACTTATGGTCCGGTGATGACAAACAACCTAATTTAGAAGACATGGGGTCTTTCTATTCAGCTGGTAGAGACCCGCTTTTCTTTGCTCACCATGCTAATGTAGATCGAATGTGGAAGATATGGAAAACATTAGGAGGTAAACGCACTGATCTCTCTGATCCAGATTGGCTTAATGCGAACTTCCTTTTCTATGATGAGAATGCTAATCTTGTTCGTGTTAAGGTAGAAGATTGTTTAAACATTGAAAAATTGGGTTACGTATATCAAGATGTTGAAATTCCTTGGCGGGAATCTAAGCCAACATCAATAAGATCATATAAGAAAAAGAATGTCTCAGGTTCACTTAGTGCTACAGTTGCAGGTACGACAAAAATAACAATTAATACAATTAACCAATCCTCATTTCCGTTAGTTTTAGAGAAAGAAGTCACTCTTGAAGTTACCAGGCCAAGGAAATCGAGAAGTAGAAAAGAGAAAGAAGAAGAGGAAGAGGTCTTGGTGATTGAGAACATTGAGTTTCAGAGAGATGCATCATTAAAATTTGATGTGCATATCAACGATGAAGGCAACATGCAAATTAACCCGGAACACACTGAGTTTGCTGGGAGCTTTGTGAATGTTCCTCACATATATAAACATGGGACGAAGATAAAGACTTGTTTAACATTGGGGTTGTCAGATTTGTTGGAGGATTTGGGGATTGAAGATGATGATAGTATACTAGTGACTTTGGTTCCAAGAGTTGGGGAGGGCTTTGCCATAATTGGTAATGTGAAGATTGAATTTTTTAGAAATTGATATATCTGTATATAGTTATAATTAGTGACATGAATATTAAGTTAAATATATTACATATCGATATATAATGTATAAATTATAATTTATTTCTCATTTAACTTATTCAAATTTAAGAGTCATTTTGAATGTTTTAGATACATTATTATTACTTTTTATAAGTTTCATACATAGCAAGACTTATCATAGATAGTATCCTCCTCAAAGTTCGACAAATTCTAAAGTTTGTGTTGAATTAAAATTTCATATATGCCTCAAGGCAAGAAAAGAAAAGAAAAATATACAAACACAATCAAATATTGACATATATCTACGATTCGTTTATAAAAATAATTGATTCAAACTGTCATAATAGTGGTAATGCAAAAAACAATAAAAAATTTTGAAGAATAAAGTATAAAATTAATATGAGAATCGTTATTGGTTCCATTGGAAGAGAAATTAAACACCGGAGAATTATTGTTCTAATTTCGTATATTCTTGGTTTGAGGTGGATGATAAAGGGCGTGTTTAAATTTTTTATTCGATATTCGGGTTAAGTTTGTATTTTGCAAAACTGGTCATAAATTCTATCCAATTGGAAGTTCTAAATCAAATTATTAGTTCACCCTCAAATGCATTAATTCAGTCCAATTTCTTATAGCACTGGTTAAAGGGATATTTTTACAAAGTTATTTTGTAAGTCTTAGATGGATATTAATGTTAGAATACCATACTTACATAAAAATAATATCTTTAAAATGATATAATAATTTAAAATTATATGTAGAAGACATGTTATTATGTGATTATAGTTATAAAGACATGTTAGAATTATTGATTCTTTTACATCTTATCCAAAGAACTGTAAAATCTAATAAGTTAATAATTCTTTATTTACAGGAAATATTATCATTAACAAAATATGACATAATAATTTTACATTCCTTTTTTCTTCCCTCCTAAAGCTGTGATTTTTCTTTTTATTATATTTCCTTTCTTTTTTCTTAAACATGCTGTAAATTTTCTCATGTCATTCTATGCATTCAAGCTCCTGATCTCCACCACTTGATTCAGATTATGTTATCTTTGTTCAGCCATGATCACGCAGCTCCAACTTACTGCCTCACACTGTAGAATCACCCATCTGGCCATTGTAAGCCACCACCAGTTCCATATAAACTGCCAGATGTCAACCACAGAAGAATCAAGTAAGCACAGAAAAAATCTCTCTCCCGCTGCTTTTCTTGAGAAAATTACAGAAGATCTCTCCAACCCAACAAGCTTAATCACAAAAATGGTTTGTGGGGTTCTTCTCTCGAGCATCCCTGTACATTCAAATTCAATCCCCAGACCTGTTTCAAGGAAAGCTCCTAAGCACCAAGCAAATCGTTGTTCAACACGTAGAATTCAATGCTCAGATTCTGGTCAAGACGCGGCTATATCTACAGGTAAGCTTATGGGTCTGTCGTCTTTTCTAACTCAGGGATTTTCTTAAATTGAGAAAGTGTTTCATTAGAATTGAAGTAAGCTGCTAGTAAATTGTAAGGAGCTGGTTATGTCTTTTGTAATTAGATAGTATACCTTAATTGGGTTTTCTCTGATTGTTGTTCTGAATGTGAAGCTTTTCTCTAAGAGGTATTTTCTTGGATGGGAATCTTTCAATTTCAGAAGTGAAAACTGTTGGACTTGCTATGGTCTGTTTGTGCATTTTAGTGTCTAGTGATTGAGGCCATATTTGTCATGAGTGGCCTTTATCAGCTATTCTATCAATTCTATCTTTCATGGAGGAATTAATTTGATCCATTCAAGATTTAATCTTTACAAAACAAAGCCAACTATTTCATTAAAACTTGAAATTTCTTTAAATTTGAAAGTAAGTTGTTTGCTATCTCAAGCATAGATTTATAGTATTTTCTAGCGTCTATCTTCTGGGTATTATGAAATTGGTTTAAATAAGTTACTATATCCGCTAGTCATCTATCACTATCGAATGACTGTAGGGTGAGACCTTTGTAATGCTTTGAGTTCCAGTTGTGTATTACGTGGTTTTGGTCATAAATTCGCCATTATGGTTAGAAATTGGGATATTTTTCCATACTGCTAGTGGAGACTATAATAAGAGTATACAACAAGCTTGTGATCCTTTGTTAATATCCCTTTGTTCAATTCGTGCAGCCTTGTTGCATGTAGAAATTGATGAATGGGAATAGCTATGATTGCCCCTTTAGTTAATTTCTTATTTGATTTTATACTGTTCTTGACCTAATTGTTAATTACTTGACTATCCTTTACATGCAGAATTGGGTCATAAAAATTCCGTTCCTATATTGAATTCCTTGGTTCTGAACTTCTAGTTCCTTCTTGATTTAAGAATTATAATTTCCTCTCTAAGGAAGTCAAGTTAGATGTAAATTTAATAAGAAAACTATGATTTTCAAGAACATTCAATAATTAACTAAAAGAATAGAATAGTAGTTGAATTAGACCAAATGAGCTGTTCTAGAAGTTTTTTCATAAAAGCAAAATTTCCGTGATTGTTGGTCAAGATGATTTAGATTTCATTTAGACCTCATATCTTTACAAAATAGAAAAGAAAAAACAAGTTGAGCATATCATAGCGTGTGCCATTTACATTTTGCAATGATGATGGAATAATATATACTTCCACCTTTTGTGCTTTTTAATTATGTTCTCTGTGGTTTTTCCAAACTATTTTTTGAAGTGCTCTTGTATGCTTATTCAAACTTGAAGTAACTTTTTCTACATTTACAACAGAGAAGTTTCAACATGAAGCTTCTGTAACTGGTGGTGCATATGATTTTGAAAGAGCAACTACATCTCTTACTCAAAAGTTGCTATTATCCACAAAGAAGGTGACCCTTGTAAGGCATGGTCTTAGCACTTGGAACGAAGAAAGTAGAGTTCAGGTTTGTTGGATCTGTTTCTGCAGATTTCTTCTTCTTTTCTTTCTTTTTACCTTTCTCTTCCGGGAGGTGGATATGGAGGCAGTTGAGTGTGTTTTTTCCCAATGGAGATTTTTATATCCTGCAACCGACAAAGCAGATAAAACTCTGCTCCAATGGATGATAAAAGTAAAGAAACTACTAGTGCTATCTCGCTACTAGAGTATGTTAGTTTTATATACGATGCAGCATCTGAAAACCAATATTCTTTGGAGATGGTTGTGAACAATATCTTCAACTATGTGACAACTAAAACATAAAACAGTTTCAAGTTTGCAAGACTTCTCAAAGTATACGAGGATCAAGTTGGTATTGCTTGATTAAATAATTTGTCATGAATTTACAGTGACAACAACGTAAATTGACGGTGTCCTTGCTCTGTAAATGGAATAAACATAATACCTGAATTTCATTGATGATTTCTGTTATTTCCAAGCAGTGGTTTCTGTTTTTTTTTTTCAAATATTGATGATAACTTCAGTTTTGAAAATTATGCATGCTTTTGCCTGTGTGAGAGCAGGGAAGCTCAAACCTTTCTGTCCTGACTGAAACTGGTGTGAAGCAAGCAGAGAGATGTAGAGAGGCCTTGACAAATATTTACTTTGATAAGTGCTTCTCAAGTCCAATATCTCGTGCCAAGGTGCGAGTATGATCATTAGGTTTTCTTATGTTCATTGTTTTAGTAATTTGAACATATAGTGTGTTTGAACTAATTGTATTATATGTTAGATTACTACTTGTACCAAAATGTTAAACATAAAGGAAACAGCTCAACTTTACCGATTGCCTCCTCTTGCCCAAATCCACTTAGTTGGATGCATAAAACAGAGGTCTACCATATCTTATGCTGATTTTTTTGAATATAAATGAAGCCAAGCTAGAATTTAGCTAGTGATTTCTAGTTTAGGTACCATGAGAAATAATGGAATTACGTGATTTATGTATCCCAACAGGTTGACTTGGCAGGAACAACAGGTTGACTTGGCAGGAAAGAGTACAACTTATTGTTTATTGTCCAATAATGATCCTCTTTGCATGCTAGCACATATTGTAAACGAAAAAAAATGTATACTAGTAATAGGAGGGAATGGCTACCAATTGCCATGATTAGCTTTGGTTCTATGTGACATAGTTGTTTCCAGGTACTGACTATTCCAAAATTTTATGTGATAGTCTTGTGAGAAATAATTTTGTGATTCTTGATATTTGATTCTGATGCTATATGAAATCCAAGAAGTTGTTCATATAGTCATGTGATATTCGTGAACTCCTAATTCCTAATTCTGATATTAGATGAAATAATTGTGTCAGATTACTTGTTATCCAAAGGTTTTAATAAGAAAAACTTAACTTATTATGTATGTTGTATTCTAACATTCTGCAGTCAACTGCTGAAGTTATGTGGCAAGGAAAGGAGCAGGAACTGGTTTTCCTTGACTCGTTGAAGGAGGCCCATTTATTTTTTCTTGAAGGCATGAAAAATGGTCTGTCTCCTTTCCTTTATTTGCTTTAGTGATTTATTCTTTTAACTTGGTTAAAGCAACTTTTGGCTGGCAATTCTGTCTATCTATGCACTGAATTTGCAAGCAAATGTCCTGAACATTTCTCATCCTGTTGGTAAATTTCAGTTTGTTAATATATCACCTTAGAATTTGTTCACTTGCTCAGTTTTCACATTGTTTGGATCTAATATTCATGGAAGAGTGTTCTATAGCTGGCACAGGATTTAGTTTAGTAGTTTGATAGGTTTTAAAGCACTTCTTAGATGATATCCTTTGTCAAAACCTACAAGACTGAATCACATTCAGAATATGGAGGCAGTGGATGCTAGGCAGAGATATCCTGTGGAGTACACAACATGGAGAGAAGACCCTGCAAACTTCAGCGTCAATGGTGTCTATCCTATACGTAGATTATGGGGAACAGCTAGAGAGGCTTGGAGGGAAATACTTTTGACGCCTGTAAGCTTTTCCCCTTGTTTCTTTTATTACCAATCCTTTACATTGCAGATTGCTTGGATGACATTTGAGATATTTGTTGCCTATCAGGGAGAAAACTTTTTGGTTGTCACTCATAAATCGATTTTAAGAGCACTGATCTGCACGGCATTGGGGCTGGGCCCAGAGAGGTGTGTGATTGTCTTATAAATTGCATCCCTTATCGCAAGCATATTTTCTGGGTCTTTCAAAATGGTCTGACACTGGTTATCGGTTTATAAAACTCCTACTAGACATAGTTCTTAAACATATTCATTGCTCGTATGAAAAGTTTTACCTTCCCTCATGGTTAAAAATTTCTTCATTTTAGAAAGGATTTCTGCTTGCTCTTCACACAAGGTTTAAAAATGTTCTTGAGGTAAAGTGCACAAGTTGATCAGTGCTTCCTCGAACTCATTTATACTATCTATTAAGAATCATTTCAGAGTTGTCATAGCACAATCTTTCTGTGTGACTTAATATCTACTAACTGTTTATAATTACTTTTTCAGGTTCCGAGCAATGGATGTGAACAATGGTGGAATTTCTGTTTTCAGTTTCAACAAAAAAGGAGAAGCAATGTTACAGTCTTTGAATATGACAGCTCACATGTACAGTGATTACAAATATATTTACTGAACTCACAGATGCTGTAATGAAATGCAGACAAAAGTTGGTCATATTTTGGTCTCTAACACAGTTGGTCATATCAGGACAGACTCATAGCCTGATGATCTATGGATCGGAAATATCATTTCTTTCCACTTCGTTCTGGATTACTTCTGCGTTAATGCAGGCAAAAGTTACTCATATTTGATTTCCTTTAGCCATTCATTTTTCGTAATAGAGGGTGTAGACTCTCATATAATAAACCTTTGTCCATAGAGAGAGCCATATAGGGTAAAGCTTCAGACTTGTACTGTTTCCTCTTTGTAGTTCGTTTCGTCGCTCTAATTTGATCTCGTAACTCATTGTTCTCATCGAATCAAATGTGTTAAACGTAAAGGAAATCTAGTCCCCTATATGTAATTCCTTCACCGATGAATATTTCATATCGTATTATATTTCATCGATGGTCTGAAACTTAGAAATGAGTGGGTTTGTATTTTGATTTTTTTACAGTGTCTTAGGAAGGTTTTATAAGAGAGTAAGATGGAAGCTTGTATAGTAGGAGTAAAAAGAAGGTAGAATAGAGTAGAGTAATGTTTTAATGAAATTGTACTTGGGAGTTAATTACAATAGAGTAAAGAAAGGTTTAATTTTAGTAAAAAATATATAATATATAATATATAATTTAATTTAGTATATAAATAATAGTCTTAACTTTGATTAAAAATATAATTTATATTTTTAAATTTTAACTATCATAGATAATATATATGTATTTGATATACATATATAATCTTTGAGAAAAATATTAATAATTAAAATATAATAATAAGTGGAAAAATTCGAAAACTAATAAGATAATTTTTTTTCTCTTCCTTTATGTTCTCAAATAAACTTAGAAATTTGAAGATTAAATATATACGGAAAATATTATTGAGATTAAGTTGTATAATGAGCAAAATTCATGTACCGAAATGATAATTTACTGTAAAATTCATAATTACATGGAAGTATAATCTAAACTAATAACCTAAATTCGTAACGAAATCTGAACAGAATTACAATCCTGGAGTTAAACCAAATGTGCCTAAACGGGATAGAGCCGTAGAATCAGTTTTACTTTGACGAATGACGTTTTGACCATCGAGGAGTAATCCGTTCATTGAGCTCTCTGTTCGTCTGGTGCGAACACCGGATCCACATTTAGGCGGAGGAGAGAATAGGGTAGTGAAAACTCCGATCACCGTGTTCATTTCTCTTCTATAGCAGCACAGAGCTTGGTAGCGAACAGTATTCAGTTATTGAGCGAGAAAAGGTCGAAAATGGTGGAGAATTCCGGTTACAAGGACTATCTGGCCGGCTTACTTGCCGGAGTTGCCACCGTTATCACTGGTCACCCTTTTGACACTGTAAAGGTAACGATAAATCCGCATACAATTTTGTTTATGTGTAGATTTCTTTTCATTGATTGAGTTTAACTGCTTTTATCTTGGTGCGGGTCTTTAGTTCGTTTTTTCCTTTTTGAAATATAGGGTCTTTAATTCATTGAAATCTTATTTGGATACTTTTTGAATTTCTGTTTATTGATTAAGTAAGAATGTAGCTGCAGGGTTTTTCAGTGAGTTTTTGTAAGAAGATGGATGATTGG